ACGCCTGGACCATCTCGACCGTACCTGAAAGAATGCGTACTTTCAGCTGGCGATAGTCATCGTCACCCCGTGGATGAAACAGACATCATATCCGTGTATCCTCGGGGACGGACAGACCCCCCTTTAGTAAAACGTGGTTTAGTGAAAACGACCTGAGGCCCAAACCTGGCGGGCGCAAGCCTGGAAAATAACGGCCACGGCGCCCTCTCGAGAACCGAAAACGGACAATTCATTAATCGACGTGTCACTGTTGGGGGTTCTGTCCACCCCCGACATCCGCCGTCTCGCGGGGCGGGCACCTCGGCAGCGATTCCTCGGATAAGGGGCGACTCTGTGTCGCGTATACCCCGGGCGGGACACGCCTGTGCGACCGCGTCTCCGCGGCACCGCGCCCCGGAACCCAGACCGCGAAGGCGCGGACATGGACACGCTCGCCGCCCGTGAGAAGCACGGGGCACCGCGCCCAGGCCACCGCAGGACGACGACCTGGCCATCCCTTGAGCGGGGACCGACCGTCTCGGCATTCCTTCAAGCCTGCACGACGAGTTTTAAGAACGAGTTCATTTCCCCATAGAAAGCAACGCTCTCATAACATAAATGCGGCTGATTAAAACAGGACGGCCTCCGCCAGAAATGTTCTCAGGACATTTCGCGCACATCACAACAGGTTCTTAGAATATCATTTGGTGTGCCTGAGACGGGGAGACCACGAGTCGGGGAGACGGAAGGCTCAATTTCGGGGGACTCGGGTTGGCCAGACGGGGCCATCATGAAAATGACGAAACCCAATCTGAAATTTGACGCCAACTCCCGCTGCAGACAACCCACGAAAACTGGACCGTCAAAATCCAGGGCGCGCTCGTCGACAAGCGTCGACAACCCCGAGTTCTGGCGCACTCGAGTCTTACGTTGAGTAGGGCTTGGGGGTCAGGTCTGCAGAACGCCCCAGACATACGTCAAGGGGCGCAACCAACCTGTTCGGTCAAGCTGAAATTGATGCCCCCACCCTGCGTCAAGCCCAAACTTTGGACATAAGCGAAGGGTTGGATTTTGCACATCTTCGTCGGCTGAACTGGCGAGGCGTTTGACCACCTCGACGCCTCTTCCTTGGTGGTCCCTGCAGAGAAAAGGCACTCTCTGACCCTCGGCCCTGCTCAAGTACGTTTCCCCGGTATGCAGAGGCCTCCTAGATGGGGTCCGAGCAGATGGAGTCGGAGGATGTCGCCGCATCGCCGATGCATCGGCAATGCATCGGCGATGCATCGGCGATGCATCGGCGATGCACTGGCGACGTCGGCGATACATCGGCGACGTCGGCGTGGAAAAAAATGAAAGTCCACATCGAGAAGCATCGCCGATTCATCGGCGATGCGGCGCGATCCGCCGACCCGATCTACTCCGACCCCCTCTGGGAGGCCTGGACCGACACAAGTACGTCTCCCCAAGATCTGCAGGCCAGGACGCCTCCCCAGACATGCGACATCCTGATGTTTGTCAATGCCGCGCCCCCGGAAGTCCAGACCCCTTCCCTGGGGGCTGGTGTTTCATCCCGAACCTTTTTTATGACGCTCCCGGGGACCGGCGAAGGCCCCCGCGGCCCGAATGAATAGCGAAACGCTTTCCGCCCTGATCGTCTTACGACGCAATCATGTCTGGGTCGCCGCTGCTTGCATCCCTGGCCTTAGGTCGGGCATGACCCTCTACAGCCAGATTTCGGGCGGAACATGAGACATGTAGTCCCAAAGTGCTCAATCAGGGCAAACAGTAAAAATCGTCCCCAATCTATGTTGTACTGCTGTTGCATATCCCTGTAGGGGGGCTTGCCCGACTCAGCACCGCTCGCACCCCTGGGCTTGTGTTGCTCCCACCGTACTTAAGGATCCCACGCCAGAAATAATTTCGAGCACCCAGGAAAAGTGCCGAAAGAGTGTCGAAACAGCGTCAAAACAGTGTCGGACGAATGTCTCCCCAGGCCCAACACGTGAAAACCCTCGAGCGCCGGTACTTCTCTGGTGCTCGGAACCCTTTCTGGCGGTCAAAGCCTAAAAGTTGAGCAGGGACCGACCGTCCGAACATCCGTGTAGTCCTACAACGAAAAGTTCCTATAGCCGAACAGTGTTCTCAGAACTATAACAATGGTCTTGGAACATAAGCCCGGTTTAAACAAGGTAGTCCCGGCCAGAACTGTCCTAAGAATATTCCGTAGAAACCGCAAACGGTTCTTAGAGCACTGCTTGGCAGGACGGAGGCACGCCGGGACGCTCTGCCACTGCTTGATGCTGGTGATCCAAGCCAGAAAGGGCACGACTCCAACCGGCCAGCGGCGGCGGCCCGAGAGGAGGAGGAGGAGGAGGAGGAGGAGGAGGAGGAGGAGGAGGAGGCGACGACGCCGACGTCGAAGACGACGAGGGCCACCCGCGCAACCGCGACGACAGCCCTGGGCACGACCCCAACCGGCCCGCGGCGGCGGCCCGAGAGATCTCCGGGCGGCGGGGCGCGCCTCGGGGCGCCCGCGCCGCCGCGCCCCCCTGGCAGGAGCGGGCCGCCCGCCCCTCGGCGCCGAGGCGGGCGGAGTGCCCCCCCCCCCCCCTTCTGGGGAGCAGGGGGCGCACAGAGGAGGGGCACCTGGCGCCTCCTCCTCCTCCTCCTCCTCCTCCTCCTCCTCCTTCTCCTCCTCCTCCTCTCGTCTCCTCTTCTCCTCCTCCTCCTCCTCCTCCTCCTCCTCCTCCTCCTCCTCCCCGTCCTCGTCCTCCTCGTCCTCGTAGAACTCCTCCTCCTCTGCCTCCCCGTCCTCCTCCTCCTGTTCCTCCCTCCTCCTCCTCCTCCTCCTCCTCCTCCTCTTCCTCCTCCTCGGCCTACTCCTCCTCCTCCTCCTCGTCCTCTTCCTCCTCGTCCTCCTCCTCCTTTCCCTCCTCCTCCTTCTCCTCATCCTCCTGGTCCTCGTGGGACGTTCCAGGACGTAGTAGCACTGCATGTCTTCCTCGGAGGCGTGCGTCCGGCCCGAACATCTAGCAAAACCACCTTGTAGTAGATCGGTTCCAGAGCGGCACGGCCAGAACGCGCCGGCCACGACGCATATACTATAAGACTTCGCGGTGCGCGCGTCGCCCCATGGGCGGGCGGCGCACACGTAGTACCAGCATGCTAGGGTGCCGCCGACGATACCACTGAGATCCTGGCGTCTCAACTTTTTCTAGCCGGGCGTCTTCGTTTTTTTGTTCGGGCTCCGGGACACTCTCACGGATCGATCCGGCTCGAAAAATGGCGCCGAAAGAGTGGGTCTAGGGCTCCAGGCGCGTGGTGTCTTACGATGCTGCATTTCTTTCACTACGTCGGATCTCGGGGACGGCCGCAACACCGCTCGAGTCACCCGTGCACTCTGGGGCGAGCGCGGCGGGAACTGACGAGTGGCATGACTTACAGCGACACGCCAGAAGCAAACAGCAGCGCCGGCGGGAAGGGGAGGATAAGAGGGGGGAGAAGACAGTGAGAAAGAACGCAGGGAGATATCGGGGGATTCCTGTCCCGACAAAAAACGGGCGCCGGCTCGCACGTGTCCTCGTCCACCTTCTCCTTTTCCTCCTCCTCCTCCTCGAACTCCTCCTCCAAGTCGTCCTCCAACTCCCCCTGCTGCTCCCCCTCCTCCTTCTCTTCTTGCTCCTCCTCCTCCTCCTCCTCTTCCGCTCCTCCTCCTCGTCGTCCTCCTCCTCCTGATCATCATCCTCCTCCTCCTGCTGCTGCTCCTCCTCCCCCTCCTCCTCCTCCTCCTCCTCCTCCGCCTCCTCATCATCCTCCTCCTCTTCATCCTACTCCTCCTCCTCTGCCTCCTCTGCCTCCTCTGGCTCCTCTGCCTCCTCCTCCACGTCCTCTTCTTCTTCCTCCTCCTCTTCCTCCTCCTCCTCCTCCTCCTCGTCCTCCCCCTCCTCCTCCCTCCTCATCCTCCTCCTCCTCCTCTCCTCCCCCTCTCCTCCTCCTCCTCCTCCTCCTCCTCTCCTCCTCTGCCTCCTCTGCCTCCTCCTCCTCCTCCTCCTCGTCCTCTTCTTCCTCCTCCTCCTCCTCCTCTTCCTCCTCCTGTCCCCCTCCTCCCCTTCCTCCCCCCCTGGTTCGAAAAAATGAGTTGCCAAAACCTCAGGTTCCTCCCCCCCGCAACGGAGGCGGAGGAAAGGAGGGGCAGGTGGATGGGACGAAGGAGGGTGAGGAGAAGGAGAAGGAGGATACGTAGAAACATGATGAGGAGGAAGAGGAGGGCATCTCCTCCTCCTTTCCCCCTACCCTTTCCCCTCCACTGCCCTCTCCTGCCCATGCCTCACCCCCCTGCTCCCTCCGTGATAGCGGCGGCGGCGGCGGCGATGGCGGCCCTCCTCGAAACTCGCCGCGCAGAATTCTCTGGGGGGGGGACGAAAAGGTCGGATAGCAAAGGGTCCAGTAGATCCGTGCGGCGACGGCGCGCGCAAAGTTTCTTGACACCACGTCGAACGTTCAAAACATGAACCGATCGCGGCCCCGATCGTTCAAGGTTGAGTCCCCTCGGGTCCAATGGCCAATGGCGTCACCGTGTCCCTCGACGGTGCTTCCGCGTCGCAAAATTTGTACCTTGAACGCCTTCGCCGGCGTCGCCGTCGCGCCATCGCCGCCTGAACCTTCCGTAGGGTCGAGACTCAGATCACGTAGCTGGTTTTCCTGGCGCCCATCGGCGCCGGGAGGCGCCCATGTATCGAGGGATGGGGCGGCGGCTTGGCGGCGGCTTGGCCGAAACCAACTGCATGCAGGCCTACCTTGTCGTCCGGCCCGATCTTCTGCAGGAGCGCTCCGGTCAGCATCTCGAGTGGAAGCCAGTCGTGGCCACGAGAGGCCTCCCAAAAAGCCCAAAGAGGCCAGCAATCACCCCCCCCCACAACACCTGGATCCCCCCAAACCCCGAGCAGCCGATGACGCCAGTCAACGCCGTCTCCGGACGACGACCGTCGGTCGCAGGCGACCCCGCCTGCGACGGCGAGGCGACGGCGACGGACGACGAGCGGCGACGGACGGCTCACGACGACGGGCGGAGCGCGACGAAGGCGACGAGCGGCGACGGCGGCCGCGCCCCGCGCCCTCCTGGCGGCAGGGGCCGCACTCCGCCCCCGCCCGCGCGCGCCTTCTTCCCCCCCCCCTCCGCCGCGGCCTCGCGAGCCGAGGGGCGGTGCGCGGGGAGGGGGGGGGGGGAGAGGGGAGAGGGGGGAGGAGGAGGAGGAGGAGGAGGAGGAGGAGGAGGGGGCTAGAGTTAGGCTGGGCATGTCCTCCCACAGGCGGAGTCTGGACGAGCAGAAAACATGAGAGATGGTCAGACGATATTTTGGAAGAGAATGGAAAAGTCGTCCTCGCAATATTTCTGGACTATTGGGGGCCATTCCTTCTGTAGAGGGACATGCCACTTCAGGCTAGAGGCGACAACGCCTTCGGGCAGGAGATGGACTAATTACAGCGTCGGCGTGCGCCGAAGCGGACGTGGTCGTCGAAGCGGGGGAGAACGACGCAGAGGGCTCGCAGACCTACGGCCTTTCTGCATCTCTGTGTCCGGAAATTCGGCGAAACAAACAATTGCGGGGGGCAGATCAATCCTACCGTCGATCTCCTGCTCGACTACTCGGAGGTCTTCGCCGGCAAGACGAAGGACGAAGCCCCCTTTGAGGGGGCTGCTGCGCCGGAGAGGGCCGCGGGTTGAGCGGGATCGCGCCGGACTGAGCGGGATCAAGCCGGATGACGCGGGATTGAGCTCAGGTCGGGCACGTCCCCTCACAGGCGGATGGTGGACAGAAAATGAAGCATACTCGAAACGTGCCCAACCAGAGTCGAACAACAATAGCATAAGCATATCCATAGGATGTCTGAAACTTTGGTTGGGTATCCCTCCTCTAGAATCGGGAGCGGCCAAGAGGGGGGTGTCCAAGAGGGGGGGGGGGCAAATCATGACCGGCGGCATGTGCGCGGCCCAGCGGGGGGGCCAGGGACGTAATGAAACAAGAAGAGGCGCCATGAGATCTGGGGAAATATCATGGCCCACGCCATGATATCCACCTCCCCCCTAGTCATCACCCCCCTCTTTTCCGCCCCCGATAGAAGGGCATGCCCGACTTGAGATTAAGCCGGGGTGAGCCAGATTTCGGACCAGGGTAAACTCAGAACTTTGACCTCCCAGGAGCTGCCTCCGAAGGGAGGGGGGCGGGAGCGAGGGCGGGCACACAGAGAAAGAGACACATGCCCCAGGAGGCACCACGTTCTAGCATACGCTCGCGGCTTGCCCTCGTCTTCCCCTCCACTCCCCATGCTCCCAGGCGTTCTACCGGGGACTCGACGCTTATCACTTGGGTCCGTGCACTTTTTCCACTCCTGAAGGGGGGTCTAGGGCTCTGGGCGTGGTTCTTCACGATGTGGCCATCGTTGTCTTCTCCTTGTTCTCGTCCTCCTCCTCCTCTGCCTCCTCTGCCTCCTCCTCCTCCTCCTCCTCCTCCTTCCTCCTCCACCTTCCTCCTCCTCCTCCTCCTCCTCCTCCTCCTGCAGGGCGACGAGATCTTGACCGATCCACTGCCCCAGGCATGGCCCCCCACCCTGGGCCCAGGAGCGGTACGGGCCCCACAGCAGAGGCCAGTCCACCAAACACCTCCCGCAGGAAACCCAACCCTGAAGGGGGAGGGTGGAGGCCCGAGGGGTACGAAAGCGGGGAAGGGGGAGGCAGGTCAGGTCCTCCTCCTCCTCCTCCTCCTCCTCCTCCTCCTCCTCCTCCTCCTCCTCCTCCCCCTTCCTCCTCCCCCTCCTCCTCCTTCTCCTGCAGGGCGACGAGATCTTGACCGATCCACTCCCCCAGGCATGGCCCCCCACCCTGGGCCCAAGAGCGGTACGGGCCCCACAGCCGAGGCCAGTCCACCAGGCACCTCCCGCAGGAAGCCCAACCCTGAATGGGGGAGGGCGGAGGCCCGAGGGGCACGAAAGGGGGGGAGTTTCGCAGGTCAGGTCCTCCTCCTCCTCCTCCTCCTCCTCCTCCTCCTCCTCCTCCTCCTCCTCATCATCATCCTGAAGGGGGGCTGAGAGGCCCTAGGGGCACGAGAGGTGGAGATTGGGCAGGTCAGGTCGTCCCACAAGCCTTAGTTGGGAGTTGGCAGAACTGGGTTTGGTGGGACCTGGTTTAGTGATGTGTACTGGAGGACGCCCCCCCCCCCGCCCGTTCCACTAACCGGAAGTGCCGTCACCCGAACAAAAGCACAAACTACGGCAACAAAAACGGTGTTGTGACTCTGGCCAATTTAGAATTTAGAAACTCCAAGGTCCTACTACTATACGGGTCTCCTTACCGGGGGTCCTGGCTATATCCGACTTAAATTGTTCCCGTCGTACTTAAGGAGGGCGCGCCGCTGGATGACCTCAAGGGGGGGGGGAACCCCCCCCCTTCCCCGATCCGTCGTCGGGGACCCCCCCTCCTTCCCCCCCATTCCCGGTCCGTCGTCGGGGACCCCCCCCCTCCCCCCCTTTCCCGGTCCGTCGTCGGGGAATCCCCCCCCGCCACCCCCCTTTTCAAAAGGGGGGGGGGGTCCGACCCCCCCCCTTTTGGCCGCCAGATTCAAACCCCCTCCCTTTTCGCCACGGCGCCCCCGGTCTCAGTAACCTGACCCCTGGCACCCCTAACACGAATCCTCACCCTTACCCTAACCCATAAAACGAAACCCAAACCCTAACTCAACACCCAACAGTACTCACTACTCATTAAGCACTACGCACTACCTACATTTCACGACTCGCAACTCACTACTCACTTCTCACTACTCACTACTTACGAGTCACTACTTACTCACTACCCACGACCCAATACAAATCAATACTCACTACCCACCAGCCACTAGCCACTATTCACTAACCACACTTCACCACTCACAACTCACTTCCGACAACCCCCTACTTACTATCAACTACTCGCCACTCGCTAGATCCTACACGGTACTCGCTACTCACTACTCACTACTCGCTATTCCCCACGCCGTACTCGCTACCCAATACGCACTATTCACTACCCACTACTCAGTACGCACTACGCTCCCACTACTCAATACTCACTACTTCCTACTCCCTACTCACTACTCCCAACTCGCTGCCACTCACAATCCAATACTCAATATTAACTACTCACTGAAGGCTACCCACTGCCCACGACGCACTACTCACTACCCGCTAACCACTATCCACTAGTTACGACTGAGTACTCACAACTCACTATCCACTACGCACTGCCCACATCTCACTACTCACTATCCGTTACTCGCTACCTAAAAAAAAAAACACTACCCACCACGCATTACTCGCGACTCACTACTCACTCCTCCCTCCTCCCTCTTCCGTGCTCACTAGTCGCAAGTCGCTACTCACTACTCACCACCCACTACTCACGACTCACGACTCACTAAATGCTACTCGATACTCCCTGCTCACTACCCACCACTCAAAACCCATTTCTCGCTTCTCTCCACCCCATACTCACTACTCACTACTCCCAATTCCCTACTCGCTACTCACTACTCGCTACCCCCTACTCGGTGCGCACTACTCCCTACTCACTACTCACTACCGACTCCGCGTACTCCCTCCTCACTACTCACTACTCACAAAAGTCCTACTCGCTACTAACTACTCACTACTAGCTACTCCCTACTACCTACTCCCTACTCACCACTCGCTACTCGCTACTCACCACTCACTACCCACTCCTCTCCACTCACTGCGCACTACTCACTACTCACTCCTGGCTATTCGCTACTGTCTACTCCCTCATCCCTACTCCCTGCTTACTACCCACTATGCACTATTCACTACACACTACTCACATTACCTTACTCACTATTTCCTTCCCACTACTCACTACCCGCTACCCACTAATCACTACTCACTAATATCTACGCACTACTCACTACTACCACTACCATTACCCACTACTCACTACTCACGACTCATTGCGCACTACTCACAATCAAATACCCACTACTCACCAATCGCTACTCAAAACACTCTCTTTACTCACTACCCGAGAGGCCCCCTGGGAGGGGGGGAGGGGAGGGGGGTCGAAAATCTCACCCCCCTTTGAAGGGGGGGGGGTTCTGCGAGCACCCCCCCTTTTGTGTATTCAGGGCCGTCCACTGGCGCGCTGTCGTACTTAAGGGCCACATCCCAAGAATCATTCCGAGCATCCCGAAAAGTGTCGAAACAGTGTCGGACGGGTGTCTCCTAGGGCCCGGCACGCGAACACCCTCGGGCCTCGGTGTTTTTTTTGGTGCTCGAAAGCATCCTTTCTGGTGGTCAAGGCTACTCCAGATTTCGTAATGAAGGGAAGGGGGTCTCATTTCGGGGGGGTCTTTTCCAAGCTATCTTGGAGGGCCTGGGGGGGTCTGGGGACGATGTTTTGGAGGGTTCTCCCACGGGGGGGGGTCTGAAATGGCTTGTCTTGGAGGGTCCAGATCCCCTCCCTTTTATTACGAAATCTGGAATAGGCTAGGTTGGAACAGCACCACACGGCCGTGCCACGAGGAGGCTCTCCTGAGCGTCGTCTGCGCGACGCTCGTCTCGCTCCGGTGGCCGCTGCCGGGCCAGCCTGGGCGAGGTCACTGCACCGACCCTGCAGACGAGCTGGCGCGGATGTTCGCTTAGATTTTTTCAATTAGAGGAAAAAAAAACTATGCACATACACCGATTCTGGCCAGGCCCATCCTGAGCCCAGGATCTGTGCATACGCCCTGCCACCTTGGCCAGGAGGGCGTATGCACCGATTCTGGATCAAGGATGGGCCTTGCCACGCTCGGTGCATGTGCATAGTTCTCTTCGCCCGATCAATCCAAGACCCCGCAAGGGCGAGTGAAAAACAGGTGAGTCTCGCGTGGAGTTGTGGTAGTCTTCGCTCCTGCCCCAAGGAGTCCGCACGGAGTTCACCTCGACATCCGGAACGAAATTCTCCAGGGCACTCCGGGCCCGTCCTCTCGCTTTCCGAACGAGCCGGCTCTGCGCTGACGGGCAGGGGATGATTACAGTGGAGGCCCGAACACCACATGCCTTCCACAAGACACTCGGCTCTCAGAACCCAAGACGTCAATCGATCCTCGGTGTGGGGACCTCGCGCTCTCCATCGCAGAAGCATCGGAACCCGAATAAAC